GAAGCTCCTAACCCTCCCGCTCGAATACTCATTGAGAATCAAGAAAAGGCACTCCGAAACAGGGGCTTCTTGCGCATGCATACACTTCAAGCACAGGAAAGACTAGCTGGCAGGCTTTGTCTTGTGGGGAGTGGATTTTAGTCCCCTAGGGCCTGTACGCAGAGACCCCAACGCACCTTGATGAACTACCGGGAGATTTCTTCGCATATCATGATGGATCTGGCTATGATTTATGGAATAGCTCTCCAAGAAATATTCTACGTACCCCTTGGGCATACCCTTAAAAGAAGTGGGTTTTGGCAAAATCCTCCCTTAGACTCCCTTATATTCTCCTTTTAGAGGTTACGGGGTACGGTTTTGGGGTATGGTGAAATGTTCTTAGAAGCTCATACTACACAAAAAAGTCTCTGGGTACTATTCTCCTTCCTTCAACGCGACATCCCAGGTCAAACAAGTTGGTAACCGGAAGCTGCAGCTACATACAGGAAGGATCCCAATCATCACAGACTTACTCCATCTTATGTCCTAAGTTCTCCGGCTTCTTACACCCAACGTAAGTGGCCTCTTATTGCCTTGCAGCTCTTCTCTTCTTGTAACTCAGGACCCCCATCTGACTATTTGAAGAGAGCGCAGCAGCCCTCGTGTATAACGAAGCGCGAAAGGTCTGTTCAGCCCTACACCCTAAACCATCCTAAACCCTAGTCAGCCCAAACAAGAAAACCCTAACCTCGAAATCCAGCACCCAGGTGCCAAACAATATCAGAAGTCAAAGTAAACCTGGGTTTTGGAGTATTATACTTTAACACTTTTTTTGGGGGGGTTCTGGGTTCCTATTACCCTAAACCCTAAACCCTACACCCTAAACCCTAAACCCTAAACCCCAGGTCAAGGACAACCCCATCTTCCGCTTCGGCCATGCGAACCCCACTGCAGCTCCTGGCTCGGGCGCGAAGTCCGCACTGAGCATGGACGGGGCCTCAGGTGTGTTTAGGGTTTGGGTTCAGGGTTTTGGGCTTAGGTTTAGGGTTTAGGGTTTAGGGTTTAGGGCTCAGGGTTTTAGGGTTTAGGGTTTAGGGCAAGTTTAGGGTTTAGGGGAATCCAAATTCTGGTCCTTTTGGGGTACACAGATGATATCGGCCGTACGAGAACATGTGCCCGCAAAAGGCCCATGATTCAGATTCCGGGCTTGGGGTTTTGATGCTTCTAGGGGGTTGTGGGGGTGTCAAGGATTTAGAATTTAAGGCTGGGGCCTTGAGTTCAGGGCTCATGTTTTCCGATTTCTGGTGTTGGGAAAGATGGGGTTTCAAGTTTTTTGTCGAAATTTGCTCGAAGGAATCCAGGGAGCTTGCCGACCAGAACTGTTGAGTTATCGGGTTTGCGGGCTCGCGACCTAGAGCGCAGTGCGAGTCAGGAGTATTCCTTCGAAGCCCTGAACGATGTAGGGATCTTTGGTAGGATTTAAGGTACACTTCTTAAGTAAGTGTTGTTTCTCTTTGGGTTTCGAGGGTTTGCGGTTTATTGCTTGGTCTGGGGTTTTATAGGGCACAACTTCTTCGATCGAAGACCCGTATAGACCCGAAATCAGAAATATATATACCTGTAATTTAGGATCAGGACCCACACCCAGACTATGGAGTCTAAGGTATGCTCCTTGTGTCAGGAGCATTGTGGGACCCCCCAACAACCCCAAACCCTAAGCCCTAACTCATTCTTGCATTTGAACCCTCAACCCTAAACCCTAGAACCCTAAACCCTCAACCCCCTAAACCCCTAAACCCTAAACCCTAAACCCTAAACCCTAAGCCCTAAGCCCTAAACCCTAAACCCTAAAAACCCTAAAAACCCTAAAAACCCTAAACCCTAAGAGGACTGCGGGGTGGAGCCCCTGTCGGTCCCTGGAACACTCATCGTGAAGGCCAGGGCTGAGACGGGGCGCTCCCAGGATAAACCCCAGGGGTTGGGTTTAGGGTTTAGGGTTTAGGTTTTAGGGTTTAGGTTTTAGGGTTTAGGGTTTAGGGTTTAGGGTTTAGGGTTTAGGGGTTTAGGGGTTTAGGGGTTTAGGGGTTTAGGGGTTTAGGGGTTTAGGGGTTTGGGGTTTAGGGTCTAGGGTTTGGGGTTTAGGGTTTCGGGTTTAGGGTTTAAGGGCCCTATTTTTATCCTTTAAGGGATTATGCAGGGTACCTCATTCCTTCCTGCCCTACCAAGAACCCGGATAAAGTGCTCTGGGTTTTTGCGGGGCCGTCTTGGAGTTAATTTGGGTAGTTACAAGTAGGGTTAGGGTTTAGGATTTGGGTTTGTTTGGGTTCTTAGGGCTTTTGAGGGCTTAGGGTTTAGGGTTCGAAGTATGATTGCCATGCTTTTAAAAACCCTGTTTAGGGTACATCGAACCCTACTTGTATCGACCCAAATGAGCCTCCAAGTTGGGAGTTTTGCCCGGCCTCAGTTCCTCGAGTCAAGGAAGGGCTGTCTAGAGAGGCAAGGTGTGCTTCGGGAACACCCGGTTACACCCCATGGCAATCTAACTTCTCCTGTCTGCTGGAAACCACAAACCCCTAGCCGTTGTAGTTGGATTTTTCGTGTTCAGGATAGGCTTGTAGGCCTCATATTGCGAAGGGTGTAGGGTTTGGGGTTTCCTGCAATAAAAGTGCTGTGCTGCGCAAGGACATGCTGGCGAATTTCCAAGAAACCAACTCCGATCACATCGGACGCAGCCGGCACTTGTTGCAACTGCTCCTGGGCTTACAGGGACCCATTTGGGAGGCTGAGTCTAAGAAGCAGATTGCGCAAGCACACTGCTGATCCAGGTTGTAGCATATTACAAGTTTCTGTGTTAAAACAGTTTAGAGTACTAGCGCTTGGAGTAGCCGGTACTAGGACTTAGGGTAGTAATGTGTTGTAATTAGGGGTTTAGGATGTCGGCTTAGGAGGTCGGACATGCTGTCTTCATGGCCTCATCCTGTCAAGCTGCCCTAAACAGGGGTCCGCCTGGAAAACTTGTGAGCACCATGTGACAGAGTGGGTCTGAGGGGACAGGGAGTAAGGACGTGGAAAGAAAGCAAACGCAGACTGGGGCTCGATGATGGACATGCGTCCCTAAACCCTAAACCCTAAACCCATGGAAGCAGTGGCCACGGGGGAGGAGGCACAAGCACAAGTGGGCCCATCAGTCGTGTTGACAGCACGAACTCCAGGACCGCTTGACGTGTGCCCTGGACAGGTTGCCCTGCGCTCTTGTTGTAAGAGATCATGGCTTGCACGAAGTACTATGAATATTATTCGATGTATTATCAATGCAATCTGCAGTCAGTCGCGAATCTCCGTCCACTCAAACTTTCTCCGGGAGCCTTACGCTTCCGCAGCCTAGTCCCCAAAGAGCCCAGTACCCCTGTACTAAGGAATAGTTCTTAAATCATACTAAGGATCCCTATATGGTTTAAGGGATATTGCTTACTTAAGGGGTTTTGGGCTCTCTGGGTCTCCCTTCCGAGATAACTGTGTTAATTATGGCTTTTTCGGGTTACGGCTCGGGGGTGATCGTTCAAAGCACAAATCAGCGCACGGCTGTGGGAGAGTACACCCAAAACCCTCGGTAACCTTAAGCTCTGAACCATCATGTTTGCTGTACCCATGCCTGCTGCCAGTTCAAGGTGGCCCTGCCGCACGCGCGCGCGCGCGAAGCGGTCTAACAGGTGCATTAAAATAAACACACACACACACACAAAAAAAAAAAACAAAGAAGGGCAGCAACCTCAAGATCCTCTGCGATTGGGGTTTAGGGTTTAGGGCTTGGGGCTTAGGGTTTAGGGCTTAGGGCGCTTAGGGTTTAGGGTTTAGGTTTTAGGGTTCAGGAGTTAGGGTTATGAACTAGAACTGCTGCAAATCGTGAGAGTCCTGCATGGCTTCTAAGCCCGGCGTCCAAAATCCCGCGCCCTGAGGCCTCCGCCTACACCTTCAACCAGCACGGCTGAAATACCCGAAAACCCTAAAACTAAGCCCTCGCCCCCAAACAAAAACACACAAAAAAAAAAAAAATATATATATATATGTAGATATACATATACACGCAAAAGATCGTGCGCATGTTGCCAAGGGACTCCCACCAGAATTTGGCGGCCGACCACGCCTTTGGGAAGCCCACATCCACGGACCCTGTGCCCTGATTGCCTCCTTTGCGATGTTGCTTGGGTTTCTGGCATCTGGGTCTCAGGGTTCAGGGCTTAGGGTTTAGGGTTTCAGGGTTTCAAGGGTTTCAGGGTTTAGTGTTGCAGTTGCATAGCACGGGCTCAAAAGGGCTCAGTATCTGTCAGTTGTTTCTAGAAAGCATGTGCTCAAACTCTTGATGCCTGCAGATTAACGACAACTTGAGGACTAAACGTGCTGAATTCCTCCGTCTGCACCAAAAAAATTAGTGTATGTTTAGAACAGTGTAGACATTCCCCCGCTGGCCGGGCCACGTAAGATGCACTTGCTGGTACTACAAGTCCTCCGCCAACGCAAAACATGCCAGTGCGACAAAACTTTCATCCTGCTGATGTAGACCTTGTTTGCATACCCCTCTACTGTTCGTTAGAGGTCTAAATCCATTGCTGCTGATGCAAAACAAGTCTCTGGACCTTAGAGTGACGGCAGGTCCCATCCGAGGGTTCATAGGGCCTTCAGGTGTGCATCTCTTTTCGGCAGTCTGCTTGACAGATGCTGGCACCTGTGAGACCAGCAAGCGTTTCCCGTGATAAGCCAGGTTTGGGTTTAAGTAGGGTTTTACCGAGACTAACCACTACAGAACAAAGAAAGACTTTCGCCAGCTGCCTTGTATTTTTAAGGAATATAAATATAAATTTAAACATTAATAAATAAATATGTATTTATTTATATTATATTATATATGTGTATATTATAATACATATATACATATATACGTAGGGTCACTCTGAATCCTTGAGGTCAGCGCCGGCTTGTTGATACATGGCAGCTACTCCCCGGCGGAGCAGCCACTGGAGCTGATGTTGCAGACGCTGTTTCTTCCGGGTGAGGGTGTGTTTAGGGTTTAGGGTTTAGGGTGTTTAGGGTTGAGGGTTTAGGGGCCAGGGTGGGGCGACCTGAGACGTGTAGGAGTCTGTATTTCTGCCCTGTCTACAGAGGCGCTAGACCCTATACTACACCTCAAGCCCCAAGTGATGTCTAGGGAGCACAGGTGATTGTACTTGTTTGGTTGTTGTGGGTTGGGATTGACGTCATGTGCTCGTGTGGTCCTCTGACATCGTCCCAGCTGTGCGTGCTTGGCGGGTGGCAAAAAACCCTCAACCCCTGGCCCTTGGTGAATTCTAAACCCTAACCCTAAACCCCTAAACCCTAAACCCTAAACCCGCGAACCTGCCAAGGTTGCCCGACGCAGATCTCGGGAAGTGCTTAACCGCAGGCCTGAGATGCCCTTATAGGGTTGTTCCCCAAAGAGCCCAATTCCCCTCAAGTCCCTGAAGTCCCTTAAGTCCCTTAAGTCCCTCAAGTCCCTTAAGTCCCTTAAGTCCTCAAGATGCCTTAATCAAGAGGTGTTGGGCTCCTCTTGTGATCATTCTGGCAGCCCAGGCGTCAGGGAAAAGATTCCGTAATCTACATCGCGAGTAGAGGGTGGGGAGATAGAGTTCTGGCCGCAGCCGAAGCCCTGAACTGAAGATGTACAGAGTATTTTAAGGCTACATAGCCCTCATACGTTGCCTGGCGCTGCTGGACCCTCTGGATGCAACGGCAGAGACAGAGAGAGAGAGCTTTACATACAAGTTCCCGGTGATCCCCTGAGCAGATGTAGGGTTTGTATGATTGTTATGGGTGATTGCAATGGTAGTGAGTGTGTATGTTGCGTATCCTTAAAGCCCACTGCCTATCAGTGTAAGCCTTTGAGCCCCCAGTTTACGGGGTTACCCCTCAAGACTAAGAGTCCTCGACTTTAGGGTTTAAGGTTTAGGGTTTTGAGTTTAGGAGTCCAGAATCAAGATTTGTAGCTAAAACCACTTGAATTCTTCCCCCAAACAAGCTCTTGGTCGAGCAAGTGGCCCTGAAACCCTTGCTAGCTCGCATAGTCTTGATGGTGCGCTCTGACTAGCGGGACATTCGGGGACCCCTATCCTGACAAGGGTCCCTCTATCAGCTTCTTAAGACTAAACGCCCTCAACCGGATGTAGGGGGGGCGTAGGACGCGACATCCCCAAACCCTGAACCCTGAAATTCAGGGCCCCTCTAGTTGCGTAGTTCCTTGCAGGTTGCTGTTTCCTACGCTTGTCGTTCGTGAGGCATCGCAATCCCAGGCCACAATCTCCTAATCCCGAATCATGCCGGTTAAGGCTTCTAGGTTCCCTAAACCCTAAACCCTTAACCCTAAACATTAGGGTTTGTAGGTTTTGTAGGGTTCGCAGGGTTGGTAGGGTTTGTAGGTTTTGTAGGGTTCGCAGGGTTGGTAGGGCCGAGGGTTGGGCGCTGCAGGCCGCCGAAACTACGAGACGGATCCTCGTGGCGTGCCCTCTGTGCGATTTGACAAAACCGCACCACCTCTTGAGAGCCTTGACTTTTCGGGCGCTTAGGGGCTTTTAGGGTTTTAGGTTTATTTGTTTTGTTTGTTTTTTTTTTTTTTTTTTTGGGGGGGGGGGGTTGAGGGTTTTGAGGGTTTTAGGGTTTTGCGACTTTGTCGCACATACTTCTCGTGCCTTGAGCTTCGAATGAGGTATTGCATACACCAGCAGTGATGTCTCCACACCCTTGCGCAGCTTCAGAAATTTTGCAAGCTGTGGCAAAGATGCTAGCACCACGCTCAGCCCATGCATCTTAAAGCAGGTATGCTACAAAGCAGGGTATGTTACATGTTGGTGTGCACCGAGGGCCTGAATAAGGGAATAGCCTCTGACTCTAACTTCTAAACCAATTTAGGGGTCCTTGCCTTACTACGAACTAAGGCCCTTCCTACGAGCTACGCAACTCAGGTATCTACCTAAAGAGGGTATTCGGCTCCCTGCGACCGGGGAAGCTGTTTGTTGAACAGTTGCCTCTTTTATGCAAAGTTTACGGCCTTTTTTTTGCTTTCAAACTTTTCGTTGCCCACAGGATCCACCGCCTGTGGGTTCAGATTTCTCCCTTTTGACCTCACCAAAATGAATAGCCCAGCCAGACTGAAGTCTCCTATACATTGTGTGCGACGGGAACTGCAGACGCCCTTCCTTCCGCCCAGACTCCTTGCCATGAGGGAGAACTCCGGAGCTTCTTTAGTTTGAGATGCCAAGGGTTAGGGTTTAGGGTTGGATGGGTTGAGGTCCAGGGTTGAGATATGGAGCCTTGACGAAAGCCGAGCTGCATTGCTGCGCTCATGAGGGCTCCAGTGTCAACTACCTCAGGGCCTCCGAGCTTAAAACTCTGCACACCAAACCCCAAAACCACAAAGATAGAAGGGTCCTACTATTGGGGCATGAGGGGGATTGTAGAAAACCATGCTTGCAGAATCCTTATGTGTGTGAGGAAAAGATCCGTGGCCAATGCCACCAACTATGGTGACGACCTCCATGCGGGCTCACTCATCACGCCGACCCGATTCCAGTCCCTGGGAGTCCATCCGCAGGAGCCTCTTAGGGTACTTCAGGGACTCTAATACCCCTTAGTTAAGGAATATTCCTTAAACTAGAATAGGGTTCCTTGTATGGCATAAGGATTATTTCTTTAATTCAGGAGTATTGGAGTCTCTGGGCCTAGGGCTTAGGGTTTTGCAATCTGGGTTTGCACTTACAGAGCTGACGGAAACATAGCCGGGCCAAAAAGGTTGTCAAAGACCTTTTTACAAGCCCTACGCTTTAGACACCTGAGCACAGAGCCGTTCTTTTGTTTGTGATCTCTCGCCATTAGTTGCAAGGAATCGGCGCGCCGGGCACAGCCCCAATCCCCAAAGCCTGAAGAGCCCTAAACCAATCGATTCGGGGCCTCTGGACCGATTTGACATCCCTTAACGGTTGGAGGTTCAGGGTTTCAGGGTTCAGGGTTGGGATGTTCCCCAAAAAACACGGTCCTTAACAGGGATTATAATGGAGGGGGTCTATAGTCCCTACTAAGGACTGTAAGTATAAAGGGCTGGGTTTTGGAGTACTATACTTTAATACTTTTTTTGGTTCTGGGTTCCTATTATAGCTACTTATACCTAAAAAGTGTATACTTTTTTCCAGGGTCTACTCCAACGATAGGGGGGGAACATCCCAATTCTAGTGTCTTGCTGGGGAGGAGGGGGGGAAGGGAGGCCTGGGTCCCGACTCTCACCTTTGCACTTTGCTAGGGTTTAGGGTTTAGGGTTTAGGGTTCAGGGTTTAGGGTTTAGGCTTTAGGGTTAGGGTGCCTTGCATCTACCAGGCAGGCGCGTCGGAGGTTGCAGATTTCCCCTGATTGGGTTCAAGCTGCAGAGCATTTTGTCCAGAATTTTCTCAGGCGCCTAGCAAAGTACATTGCTCTAAGAGGACTTCCTGCAGAAGCGGCCCGTGGCGGAGGTTGCCAGCCTTCTTCGGGGAGCCGGCTGCCGGGTAGCAAACAGAACTTCCGGGTGCGTGTTTAGCAGGATCTCTTACTTGTAGGATTGGATACCCAAGCTTTGCCACTCGGGCCCTACGGCCTAAGGCTATGTTTGTTGTTGCTTTTATACGAAGGGGCAAGAGGCGAGTGGACATGGTTTCCTGTACTTGTAGGTGGGGTTTTTGATGGCACCTTTTTGAGGTTATCACGCAATACCATGAAGCGTGCCCTTTGTGGGATGTGACCGGAAGGAAAGAAAGCGAGTACACGACTGTAGCAGAGGATGCATTTAGGATGGGGGATGCTGGCACCCGAATGACCAAAGAAGCACGGCAAAACAACATCTTACTAAAAGCATGCAGCCTGCTGGTGCTTGGAGCTTTGACAGTGTGTGTATGGTTTCGGGCCTCTTCTATCGGGGCACTGTGGTGACTTGAGAAGCCTGCAGACTGTGTGAAAGCTAGAGCTGTCTAGGCTGTGTAGGTGTCAGGCCATGGCCAGAACAGACCACACAATGACCCAGTAGCCGGCAGCGATTCCGACCTCCACCCCTGCATGGACCCGCCTGACACTTCCACTGTCCACACTTCTCATTCTTGCTGGGGTACTTTGTTTGGCCAGTAAACCCCTTAAAGCCCCTTTTTCATCTGATTTTATGCGCCATCAAGAGACGTCCAGCCATGAACAAGGCTTCTGTGCAGAGGAGCAGAAGCTGGAAGCCATCTTGACGAGGGCAGGGTGTGAAGATGGCCCCTTGGATTTGTGCTGTGGGCGAAGGACTTCTTGGTAGCCCAGTGGCACCCTTTTCCCCTTTTTTTGGGCTCCGGGTTCCCGTGTAAAGTAGCTAACCCAAAAAAGGGTGCCCTCAGTGTAGTATGGTTACTGGACAACCAAGACTTGGCATTTCAGCGGAGGCAATAGTGGGAACTGTTCTCGTTTCCGCCGGAACGATGTATGATGTCCAGGTGACCCTAAACCCTGAACCCTAAACCCTAAACCCTAAACTTTCGTGTCGGTAGCTTCAGTCCGGCTGTAGTCCTGGCTGAACATGGGCAGCTTGGTTGAGCAAGGCATGGTCTAAAATACCAAACCGGACGTTCGGTTCAGCTAGGCGGGCGGCAAAAAACACAAAAGCAACCCCCCAGAAGACTCGAGCCAGGCCCTGGCAGCTTGCCATCCTTTATCCCAAAGGCCGGTGTGAGTTCAACTCTACTCTACGTAGGCCCTAAGCCCTAAACCCTAAACCCTAAATCCTAAACCCTAAACCCTAAGCCCCCTAAACCCTAAACCCTAATTTTCCATTACTGGCTTTAAGGGGATCACCTTCAGGAATGTTTTTTCAGAGGGTTTAAGGGCCATCCAGTACTCTACATGGTCCTGAGTAACTTACTAACTTTGCATGCATGGGTTTGCTTGGTAGCCCCTTTATCCCTTTTAATTTATTGGTTCAAAGTTCCCTTACAAAGTAACCCACCCACAAAGATGGGTGCCCTAAGCCCTATATCCTAAACCCTAAACCCTGGCATGAAAATATGAGCTACTCAGGTGCCGGCCGTGCCTCCTTGGAAGATGCATTGGGAGCCATTGAGGAGTGGCTGTCGACGGAAGGTTAATTGAGGGGCTTCCCTCGACGACGGCGCCGTTGGATGGTCCAAAAGCCTCAAAATCTCAGGAGTTTGGGGTTTAGGGTTAGGGTTTAGGGTTTAGGGTTTAGGGTTTAGGGTTGAGGGTTTAGGGTTTAGGGTTTGGGGGTAGAAGTGAAATGCTGACCCGCTTACAAGGGCACATAGGTTCCATCCAAGAGGTTCCCTTCACCTCACAAAGGGTCGTCAGCAGACCCTTACATGGAGCGCTAAATGGTGATGGAAGAGGGGCCCTAGCAACAGTTCTCCACATTTGCAGCAAGCAGCGTGGGTCTCCATCACCCGACTGGTGGCTATCTCATCCTGAGCAGGACAGAATACCTGAACTGCATCAGGCGCCCTTTAATGACGACCGGACTGGCACTGGCAAAAGAAGCTCTGTAAAGCTCAAACTCTAAACCACGAACTTAAAGTTAAAACACCCTTGTCGATACTTGGGATTTGCGAATTTTCGCGCTTCCCCCAAACCCTGAAACCCTTAAACCAAAATGACCGCCCGACTTTAGCCTACCACGCCGTCAACCTCACAGCCTATGCTTGCAGGTGCCTTCGTATATTCTTGCAACTGCAAGGGGCAGAGACACAGCCAGAGAGAGAGAGAGAGAGAGAGCGAGAGAGAGAGAGAGAGAGAGCGCGAGAGAGAGAGAGAGAGAGAGAGAGAGAGAGCGAGAGAGAGAGAGAGAGAGAAGAAGGAGAACTCCAACCCCCGGAACAAGGGACCCCATACTCGTCACAGAGATAGCCATCGGGCTATTTGTTTAACCACACGCGGATTCAGCAGCCAAAGGCCCCGCTGTCCTTTGGTCGCTCTCCCCACTTACAAGGGAAGTTACACAGTCCCTGGTTTAGGGTTTAGGGTCTAGGCCCCCAATCAAGGGCCCATCTGAAGGGACCCTGCTACCCCCCCCCCCCCCCCCCCCAAGAAAAAGAAGCAAAAACAGAACAATGATCCCTATATTGCCCTTATAAGGAATAATATCCTTTTTTTTTGGGGGGGTGGGGGGCTTCTTAAGCTTATACCTGTACTTACAACCATATGAGGGCACTTAAGGGGCTTATGAGTGGGTCATAAGTACAGTTATAATTGGTTAATGAGTACCCCTAAACCCTAAACCCTAAACCGCAAAGCGTGCAGGCGGGCTCCGGGAGCGCTTGTGAGCCTGGTGGGGGCTGGTCAAAGCCTCTTGCCTGTGTTCAGAGCCTGGTTGGGGTTTAGGGTTTAGGGTTTAGGGTTTAGGGTTTAGTGGTTGGGGGTTCGCTAGGGTTTAGAACCCCTAGGATTGTACCCTTGGGTTTGAGGACCCTGTTTCAAGATCCTCTAGGGGGAAAATAAGGGCCATGTTGGGAGCACATTCAGGGAAACCTCTTAGGGGTACATCCTGTGGGGGCTATGGGTTAGGGTTGTGGGGATTAAGGGTTTGCGGGCTTGAGGATTGCAAACTTCAGACCATTCTACAAGAGTCGGGACAAGTCGCTGGTACTTGGAAATGTCGCCTCAGAATAGTCGCATCTTAACTTCTCATAGAGGGTTCCTGATGAGGACTGTCAGCCAGCCTTTGCAAGAGCGACGCGCGTAGCCCGCGAAAGCCCTGCCCAACCCAGGAGGGATCCCCCGCCCAGCTTTTCTTGATTTTGGGTTTTGGGTTTTTGGGTGACGGGTGACGGGTGACGGGTGTCGGGTTGGGTTCTGGAGCAACGTCTCTGGTCTCTGGTCGTTTGCCAGCTGCCGCGGAGGTAAGTAACACAAATGTTGCCCATAGCAATTCTCTAGTAGCTCTCAGCGCCCGCTATGGACCTTATACCCAGATCTTCAACATGGCTTTGTCAAGGCAGAATGCTTAAGTCACAGACCGGCTCTGATTACCCTGAGAATGTAATGTGTGTGATCATGCTACGATGGAAGGTCTGGGTAAGTAGCCAAACCCTGAACCCTAAACCCTAAACCCTAAACCCTAAACCCTAAACCCTAAACCCTAAACCCTAAACCCCAAACCCAGCTTGCGAGTCCGAGGCTCTACTCACGCATCCGAGCCGCCGAGTCCCAGAAGGTCGGGCTGTATGCTTTGCTTCGGCTCCCAAACAAACGAGGGTTTAGGGTTTAGGGTTTAGGGTTTAGGGTTTAGGGTTTAGGGTTTAGGGTTTAGGGTTTAGGGTTTAGGGTTTAGGGTTTAGGGCATTATCCCTTATTGGGTCTAAGAGGATCATATTTAGGAATATTTTTCAGAGGGGCCCACCATGACCTGCCTCAAGCTACCTTGGTAGCCCAGTGGTACTCTTTTCCACCAACCCAAACAAGGGTACCCTTATCATAGGATGCTTCGTGGGCTACCACCCTAAAGGGTATATGAAGGCCATTAAGCAGTCGCATGTTGTAACGCAGTATTCTGGGTTGAGACTAGCTGATCCAGAAGATGAGTATGTTGGCATGTATTGTTGCGAACGCTTGTGAAAACACACACACACACACACACACAAGTCTACGGTTGCCAATGCCCATTAGTTCTCTCATCACTTTCAAGATGAAGCAGCTTCACATCTCGGGCATGTCAATGCATAACCAAACACATTTCGCATTCAGAAGCAGTGAACAATGCCCCAAGAAGTCCTTGAGCGAAATGACAACTAATGACAAGTGAACAGTTCGATGGTAAAGAGTGGTTATATACAGTGTGCAAAGGCAGAAGAGCCATGGCAATACATTGACATTGTGCTGTTTTCTATTATCACTTGCCGAGCTTGTTTTGAAGCTATATGAAACAACAGGTGTTCATTCTGACCAGATGTTGTACAAACTTCGGATTACAATGTGACAGCTGCGCGCCAAGGTCACCGTAGCAAGCTTGAAACCAGACCCGAGCCAGATCAACAGTTCGTCGTAGGGTTTAGGGCTCAAGTTTTGGGTTTTTCGAGTTTAGGGTTTGGAGTTTAGTAGAGGGGAGGTCTCTCTCTTGCCAAAGAGCGCGTAAATCCCGATGCCTGAAACCCCGAAGAGCCCCGTATAAACCCTACATAGCAGCTGTAGCAAGCTCGGCAGGTGGCGAAGAAAGGAGTAAGAACCCTAAACACCAAACCCTCAACACTAAACCCCCTAAACCCCCTTATTATTGCTGCCCCAAAGCCAGAACATTCAGGTATGGCCAGCCGCGAGAGTGAGTTCTACTCTGGCCGTCTACAACTTTGGCACCTTTGTGGTCCTGGGCATGTTTTGCAGTTTAAGGTCTGAAGGGCCTTTTTGGGTTTAGGGGAGAGGGTTGAGGGTTTCGGGTTTCGGGTTTAGGGTTTAGGCTGGTTCGGAGACTTGCCAACATAGGTTAGGTTCCAGGCCTCATAAAGATTATGTAGGAGGCACAGGTAACGAGAGGCAGGCAAGCAGATAACAAGAGGTGGGCATTCATGTTGAGGCCCGCGCGGACACTCAACGAAAGAGAGCGACAGTTGACTTGCTCACAGTGGCTTGTCACACATCCGACACTTAGAGTACTGAAGACGTTGCCTCGTGGAAGTGTTGTGGAGGCTCGTGACACAATGCTTTTCGAGCGCTGGCAGTGTAGCGGGGTTTCCGATATTAGGGGTACCTTATAGGGGTCCTTACTATAAACGAATCCTACTATTTGGTCTATATTCAGGGTCCCTTCTTTTTGAAAACCCCCCACAGGCTTCCTGAACCGTCCACTCCGCTCACCTGGAAAATCAAACCTTCGACCGCTCTCCAGTCCGATCTTGCCGCGCCTTTGCGCGATCTGGGTCGCCCTAAACCCTAAACCCTAAACGACCTGTTCCTTTTTTCCCCACCTTCAGTGTGGGGTTGTCAGATTTTAAACTCAACTCTTCTCCTCGCCCGGAACTCTTCTTTCGGAACTCTTCTCCTCGCCCGGTCTACTCCTAGAGCCTCCCTGGAGAGACCAAACCCAGAAACTCCCTGGAGTGCCCAACCCAGAGTCTCCCTGGAGTGCCAACCCCAGGGTCCCCCTGGAGTGCCCAACCCAATGCCCAACCCCAATTGCAAGCAAAGACTAAGACAACGTATTTGAATCAATGTGTCTTTGTTTGAACATCCTGTCTGCGCTCTTTCCTTTCAGCGAGGAGCAAGGTGGGGATGTTCGAAGTAAAATAATTTTGAACTTGTTTAACCCGAAACTGCTCAATGCTGCCAGAAGAAGTCGGGCAGAGACTACGACCTGCACTTGATGAGGCCCTGGAGGGCAGCAGCTGTCACTTTATAGCATCTCCTGCGAGCCCAACGCCCCTTATGAGGTTCACATGCTCCTCATCATGACTTAAGGTACGCTATACTACTTTGAGGGGCATTTTTGCTCATCAGGTGGTTGCGTTTAGGGAGTGGCGTTTACACGGAGGGTTTCGGGGTTAGGGTTTAAGGTAGAGTTACAAGAGCCCTAGATCGGGATATATATATATATAATATACATGTGTGAGAACTTGGCCTAGCTGCTTCCCTACAGTCATAAGGGTTGTGAGTTGGGAAATAATAACGTATTGTTACAAGCCTGAAGACCCTGTAACTGTGGCTAGTATACTTAGGGCTCTACAGATACGGGTCTCCCAGGAGGGAGAGAGAGAGAGAGAGATTCGGGTGCGTGTCATGACACCCGAGCTAGGCTCCAGATCCCCGGAAACTGAAGTGTGGGGTTTAGGGTTTTGAGCATCCTGGAGATTAGCCTGGGTAGAGTAAGCACGCCTTGAGCATCGGGCGTCAAAGTCGGACTCTGTTTGTTCGTTGCTGCGCGCGACATCATGACATTAGGCACCGGCACAAATCGCAAAGTTCGTCAGGTCACTATGGATCAGAACCCCAGCCCCCAAACCCGAAAAGCCTCAACACATTTTTTGGCTCTCTACACCTTCACTTCTCTTAGTAAAACTAGTAGTAGTAGTAGTAGTAGTAGTAGTAGTAGTAGTAGTAGTAGTAGTAGTAGTAGTAGTAGTAGCAGCAGCAGTAGTAGTAGTAGTAGGAATGGGATCTGGGACCAAACCCTAAACCCTAAACCCTAAACCCTAAACCTTGGGCCGCCCATGCTGTCAGGGAGAATGCCCGGTTCTTGGACGTCAATGAGGCAAGATCGCGTGGGCGAGCCAGGGTGCAGCGGGATTTTGGTGGCCTACGTACAGATTTTGGGGCATAAGACCCTCAATGGAATCCCTAAACCCTAAACCCTAAACCCACATGGGTACCTGCACTCCCTGGCTTCGTAGAATCCTCTTTCAAGGGTTTTTCACCTCGAGCTCACGGTAGAAATTCCTCCCAGGGGTCCGTCGTAGATCTGTTCGCTGTCCTGTGAGGTTCAACTTCCGGTTGCTTGAGTTCGCTTACGCTAGGCTTTAAGCTCAGTGAAGCCTGAGCTGCTTTAGGCTGTAAGGTTGAAGAGGTGCAGGGTTTAGGGCAGCTGCTTCACATTTGGGTTTAGACAACCCTAAACCCTAAACCCGAAACCCGAAACCCTAAACCCTAAACCCTAAACCCTAAACCCAGCTCAGATGAACAAGAACTCCTGCACCATGGACTCCTGCCAGAAGGCCGCGCAAATCCTTACAGGGAGGGCCCCTGACTTTCCGGGGGTATAGGGTTTAGGGTTTAGGGTTTCGGGTTTCGGGTTTAGGGTTTTCAGGGACCCCCCAAATAGTAGGAATCCCTTATAACAAGGACCCCAAGAAGGTACCCCTAATTTCGTAAACCCCCATACTAGCCGTAGCTGAGAGGCTTAGAACACTCAAGCTAGTAGTACTTACAACCCAGCTTTGGGCGCGTAAGTAAGACTCCACTTGTAACCGCAGGTTCCATCCTGGTCGCGGCGCCAAGGGTTGAGGATTCAGGGTTTAGGCGGGATACAAAACCCTAAACCGAAACCCTAAACCCCCTCTCAGAGCCAGTCCCTAAACCCCAAATCCCTGGTCTGGGGGAACAGACTCGATGGGGGTGGGGGGGGGGGGGGCTCCTTCTTATGATTCTCTGTCACGTAGGTATTGTTGAGGTGGCCCGCCGCGTTCTCAGGGTTTGGAGATGTGTGGCCAGGTATTTCGGCAGTTGGAGCACGTGCTTTGGTCTTGGTGGACTGTCGCTCGTCGAAATTCAGCCGAATGGCGGGCTAAGCCCTTCATCCAAAGACCCTTCAAAGCCTAAACCCTACCACCCTAACCCCTAAACCCTTTGTGCGCTCTCAGAAAATCTATGGGCCGAACATCACCATCACGAACCGGACATTCAACCCACTCGTATTTGAAGAAGTACCACATTGTCCCGTCGTGCGGGAGCAAACTTCGCAAGCATGTGTTCAAGGAGTACCTTCCGTGGACGCGCGCGCGCTCTATGAGTGGAAGACACGGTCTGCCTGCTTCACTGCCTTTACTTCCCTCGCGCGTCGGTCAGAACTCTACCCCCATGAGCACGGCACTGGCTACCACCGCCATCGCGCAGACCTTAGCGGATCACCATGTGTCGTTGATGCTGTGCTGGGTGGGCTCAAGACCCTGGATGCCAACAACCAGGCGATCCTGCTTTACAGTGACGCCAGAAGCATTCTCAAAGTTCCACAGTCCTAGGGGTACTCCGGGGCTGTGGGGCCCGCGTCAAAGGCCACGACTGTGCCCTATCGCGTGGTCATGTTTTGGGGATTGCGGGACTACCGCCTCTTCCATCTTGAGGGGTTACGTGCTCTCGAAGGGGCTTTTGTTGTCGAGTCATCAGCTCCGCGGACCCCAGTCCCTTGACCTTCTGGGTATAATACGTGCAAATCGAAATCTCTGAAACGGAGAAGTGTCGTCAACATGCGCGCGTGTTGCCGCGGAGCTCTGAGCTCGCGTTTCTCTAGTGGTGGGGGTGACGCCAGACTCTCCTGCTTCTGCTTTTGAGTCATATCCCTAAAGCCAAGAAGCCCTTGAGTTTCAGAGATATTTGGAGCATCCCGTGGCTGCTTTGCCTTGCGATCCCCGGTCGGATGCTCTGGGGATCGCGGGGGGTAGGTGGAGGGTGAGTGAGCAATGTAAAGAAGCCTTTCCTATGTCGACCCTAGCCATCTTGACCTCAAAGGCCAACGGAGGGCGAGCGCATGAGTCCCTTGAGTATGTGCTGTACTCCTACAGCAGGGCTTTGGCGGAACCAAATACATCACTGTAACTTTCGGCTTGAGCGACTCAGCTTTCTGCATTCACATCTCGCTTTGCGGCAATCCCCTTCTGCATATGGTATCTCACAATGGACGAGGTCGCTCAAGGGCGTCCTGCTTTCAGCGTCATCTTTGCGACGTACTCTGAAGGCCCGACAGTGCTTGTATTCATGCACTAGTTCAGTGAAGCTATGCGTGCGTGGGCAGTCTGCGCCGCGGGCCACAGGTGCTCCGTCTGCGGGACGGGTTCCCCGGATACCACGTTGGGTCGACACCGATTCGTTTATTGACCACTGCTTATTCCGTTTATTGACAGCGCTAGCCCAGCATCTCGTGGACAAAGAGCATTGTTGAAGGGTAGGTTGCTGCCTACGGGAACAAGTGCTGCTTCTGGCGTCTTTTCGCTGGGCGTGACCACCTGGATCTTGTTTTCCGGGGGCGCCCGGCACGAGGCGCTGGCTGAACCCTTTCAAGTGTGACTGGGTCAAGAAGGTGAGGGAGGCCTGTGTGTCAAAAAATGGAGGATGCGCCCGGGCCGTTCATTGCCGACTTCACCTCCCCTCCACATTTTGTGGGATCACTATCTCTGGGCCGCGTCTTATGTAAGCACTCTGTTTGATGCGTCCAGGGTCGGTGCTAGACGACTCAAGTACTGGGAAGAAGGCTTTTGGTGCTTGGTTTGTGAATAAGATCGGTTGGTAATGTTTTAGACCAAGAACCGTGTCCCGGCGCCCTTTGCTGAAACATTGTACAGTTGGGCTCTGAAGTGTCGCGCGCGAAGCGCGGGTTCCCCGCACTTCCTCAACTGAGGCCTCTTTTTTGTTTTTCATGTTCTGTTGTGGTGTTGACACAATGTGATTTCTGCCTCTCTGAGGAGACACAGGGAGACAGAGGGAGTGAAAGAGCGAGGAGAAAGACAAAGGGAGAGAAGAAGCGCAGGAGGCATCGATCAGCGCGCCGCTCTGAGGAGCTGAGGTTCGGGGAGTGGGGAACCTAAGTGTTCTCCTCCCCCGGTAACTAGTAACTAAGGGTGTGTACTTGTGTTTATTTTGTTTCTGGTATACGTCGTACTTAGCACTTGTTCATGTATTAGTTGCTGAGCACCCTTAACCCCCAAGCTTATAAGGCCGGGACAAGCGGCTGCGGTCAGGAGTTAACAATGTAAGGTTTATAATGCTGTGGTGTTTTAGAATTTTAGAGTTCATGGTGTTCTTATATGTTGTGGTGTAGACTCCTGGTCGTAGCCACTGGAGGGGCGGCCCTTTTTTTGCACGCGCAGCGCTGAGTGCTTGGTTCCGGAAGGGGAGCCACTGAGAAACAACAAGTTCTGGAGAGAAAGTTAAATGAATTGAGCATCTTTTAAATAATTAGGTAGTTTAAGTGAATTGTGTTTATTGAACAATATGAGGTTTAAGTAAATTGAGTAGACAAGGATGCATGAAGAAGTATGGGCAGGAGGACTGGCGTGTGGCGTGACCTTGCCGTGGAAAAGGCACCAACCTCAAGGTCAAGGCGCTTCAAGAGAGGGCTGAACACCATGAGTACACCGGGGCAGGAGTCGGCTTTTCTAGCGATGATGCTGGGGTGGAGCACGTGACTGCGTTGCTGCCTACGGGAACAAGTGCTGCTTCTGGCGCCTTTTCGCTGGGCGTGACCACCTGGATCTTGTTTTCCGGGGGCACCCGGCACGAGGCGCTGGCTGAACCCTTTCAAGTGTGACTGGGTCAAGAAGGTGAGGGAGGCCTGTGTGTCAAAAAATGGAGGATGCGCCCGGGCCGTTCATTGCCGACTTCACCTCCCCTCCACATTTTGTGGGATCACTATCTCTGGGCCGCGTCTTATGTAAGCACTCTGTTTGATGCGTCCAGGGTCGGTGCTTGGCGACTCAAGTACTGGGAAGAGGGCTTTTGGTGTTTGGTTTGTGAATAAGATCGGTCGGTAATGTGTTAGTCTAAGTTCCGTGTCCCGGTGCCCTTTGCTGAAATATTGTACAGTTGGGCTCTGAAGTGTCGTGTGCAAAGCATTCTCTCTGCAGTTGCCCTGTGGAGCATTGCTAGACGGGTGACAAAAAAAGCCTTAAACCCTACACAAAATATCCCTAAACCCTAAACCCAACTCCCTGCGGAGTGTCGTCTGGGCGTCACCTCTGCACGTGGCAAAGACCCACCTCCCAATCCCTAATAACCTGAACCTCTTAGCTGAAGACTCGAGCCCGTGAACTCCATAGCAAAGCCCAAGGAGCCTTTGCTCATATCACTGGTTCAACTTACCGTAAATCTAAAGAGTAGTCCTCATGAAGAACTAGGGCATACTCCTTGATGAAGGCGTTTGGTCTTCTTTCGGCTAGAGTCAACTAAATATCTTCAACAGGTACCTTTAGATCCTCATTGATTACATAGTGCTTTCGGGGGCTCAGGTACATCCTAGAACCGAACCCTACCCTCCAGCTCAAGTGACCCAACACCTAAGGACATCCCCTGGCTGAATCTCGATGCTGCGCACTTGGATTGCGGGCTTCTGCGCGTTAGGAGTTGTGAGGGTTGAGTTCGTAGAGTTCGGTATACATTCTAGACAACTTTCTGGGGTGGGCCAGCTCAAATCCGTGCACATGGGAAAGTTCGGCACCTGCTTCCATCCATTTTTAGCTCCTCGGCTCGAAAACCCCTAAACCCCAACCACCCCCCCCCCCCTCACCTTCCGAGGTTGCTCGACGGACCGGGACATGTTGCATGCGGTGTGCAAGCCTCCGTGCACCCTGGAAGCCCAGAGACCTAAACCCTAAACCTTCTACACCCTAAACCCTAAACCTTCTACACCCTAAACCCTAAACCCGAAGCAAGTTGCCAAGCCACGGTCTTGAGGTGTGGACCGTAAACTTGAAAATTCTCAGTAGGGCCGTGCTAATTTGCAGTTCCCTTTTATTTTGGGGAGGGCCTCTTGCATGGGATCCCATTCCCAAAGTTAGAAAACCACCAGCTGGAAAACTCTGCTTGCCAGTTACGTACCCAAATCGCCAAATCCCTGTGTCTCACTGACGAAACGTGATTGTGAGCACCCTGCACTGCTACATCCTACATCCCATGGGTAAACCCATGTCCCTCTACGTGTGCCCTAATTCCTGAATCCTAAACCCGTATAATGTTTATGGCATGTTTCGACGCCACGTCAAGCCGCGCGTCCATCTGGGAACCATCAGAAGTTGTTGAAAGCCCATGCTGCAACACTCGTTGCTATAAACAGATACTTAATAAAAAGAAACATGCAATATAGGTCTAAGTATGAACATGGCATCCGTTCATATTAATGTACACACATATATTGTTTTTCATCGTTTTTCAATGCCTTGCCTGTCATGCTTCCAAAAAGGCGGCCGGCTTGAATTCTCTCAAGTCAACAGTGCCATGGCTCACAGGCTCGTATATGCCAGAATTGGGGAACATTGGGAAATAAAGACGAGCAGCTACTGGGACATCTGATGCAGCAAAAGTAAGCAGATATTCAGGAGTGGCTGATTGATGATTGAGATCTCGATCCCTAAGAATTGTTTCAGGCATCTTCAATCCCAGATCTGGGTGATTGAGCACTCAATCCGCTCAACCTGGAAACCCTAAACCCTAAAACCCTAACCCCTAAACCCTCAACAAGAAAAGCCTAAACTCTTTCAGGGGATCTTCAACCGAGTGCCCAATCGGCCACCAGCTCTTTGCAAACTCGGTTTTGGCCACCCTCCCTCCCTCTCGTACCTACTTGGAGGTTCATGGTACGTACTAACCAATTATAACTGTACTTATAACCCCACTTATAATACCCCTAAAGGGCCTTAGAGGGGTTATCCCTATTACAAGTAGGGTTATCAGCCCAGTTGTAAGTGGTTATTAAGTCCCATAAACCTCCAAGTAAAGAAGGAAAACCGGATAACCCTTCCGAAATAACCTCAAGGGGACATGATGTGTAGACTTTAGACTCCAAGAGGGGTTTGGGGTTAAGGGTTTAGGGTTTAGGGTTTTGGGTTTTGGGTCTACGTTGATGCCTAGGCAGTGTTTAGGTCTTGGTTCCAAGAGGATGTTTGCGCAGCACGAGAAGTTGAAGCTGAAGGATGTGACTAGCTGGAGGCCGGACAGGGATGCGGTTCAGAGTGTTCGGTTTAGGGTTTAGGGTTTAGGGTTTAGGGTTTAGGGTTTAGGGTTTAGGGTTTAGGGTTTAGGGTTTAGGGTTTAGGGTTGGGTCTGACCTTGTGCCAGTGGTGCGCAGAATTCTGTGCCGGGTTTCGGCCCCAAACTACCTCAACCTCAAAACTCTGAAGTACCAAAGCCCTGAAGCCTTAATGCCTAAACTTTAAACCGGACGCCTTCAAGTAAACCCTGCACTGCCCGCTGCGAAGTACCGAACTACCAGAAACCCAAGCCTGTTGCGAAGAAAGATCCTAGATCCAGAGTCGCGCCAGCACCAACAGGCCAAGATGAAGGAAGGAAAGGAAACCTCATGAAGGGAGGAAACCTCATATCCCATTGAGGCCAGAACTGGGATGCTTTTCCTGAGGCCAGATAGGGCTCGACCCCAAATCCCAAGCAAGCCGCCGCTGCCCTTGCTCTGTGGGCTTGGCTTACTGCCCCCTCAGCCCTAAACCTCAAGCCTCCAGCCTACGCCCCAAAGTGAGTTTAGGGTTTAGGGGCCCTTAGGGCGCTTTTGGGCGTTCAGCAGTGATTCTTGGGATTTGAGGGGTCTCAGCTTGTGACCTCCGCTGGCAGGAAGGTTGCCCAAGGCATTAACTTCCCACGCTTCGAGTACGTGGCGTACCAGACGCTTCGACCGGGGCCTCTTAGGCTTTAGGGTTTAGGGTTTCGGGTTTAGGGTTTAGGATTTAGGGTTTAGGGTTTAGGGTTTAGGGGACCCCCAGTAAGTACCCGAATTTACCTTCTTTTGTAAGATTGCCCCCAAACCCTGAACCCTAAGTTTTGAACGTGGGAGGCAGAGAACATCCTAACACTAAACCAAATTCTTGCATATAGCACCGAAGGTTCAAGTTTTTTAGGGTTTCGGTTTTAGGTGTTGGGGTGTCGGGCAACGTGCACTGTAATCCCTCTGCAAAGACAGGGCTTAGGGTAGTTGGGGTTTCGGTTTCAAAAAGGAAGAAAGAAGGGTCTAGCGTTTCTCGGTCGCACTTGAGCATCCGACAAGTTCCGATGCTCAGCAGGACTTCCGTAGACACACGTCACGGCCAGGGCATAAACCCAGCACATGAAACCTCGCCCTGGTTCTTAGTAGGGAATGAGAGAATGAGGGCCCTATATATACCTTTGAAAGGATTATATAGGATACCTATATATACCCTTTAAGGGATTATATAAGGGCCATATATATATATATATATAGCCGTTGAGGGATTCTATAAGGGCTCTACATATATATATATATATATATATACCCTTGAAGGGATTATCTAGCGTACCTCATGCCCTCATTCTCTGTCTGCTAAGAACCAGCCAGACCCGACCCAAGGATGTGGACCATGCTTCACGAGGGCCGAGTCCTCGGATCACAGCCACAGGAGCAGCGCGTCTGCTTGTGTGTTTCTCTCTCTTCTTTATAGGCAGTCGCTTCTTAGCATTATGATCTCCTGGTGCTGGAGCACCCAGGAAGAATTCGAATAGCGAAACACATGCAAACAAAAAGCCCTGGCAAATGCGATTCGGTACCCCCTGCGGCCGGGATGGCCTGAAATACAATGCAAAAACTATGCGGAGAAAAAAAGCAAGAGCAATGCGGAAAAAATGAGAGAAACAAGCAACATTAATGCAATGTCCAGACACGACCAGAGGCTGTCGACTATTGGTGGGTATTTGAGCACTCTATCGCTGCTCACTAGGTAGCTGTTGATTCGTCTCCTTGGAAAATGTGCATTTTCTGTTTTTTTGCTTTTCGACTGATCTGCATGATTGCATTCCAGCTGCATTGTTGTTCAGCACATATTTTCTGTGGCACTGGGTTTGAGTTGTTTCTTCATTGCTTTTCTGTTGCGCTTTATTCGCTTGTTTTAATTTTGGGTGGATGATGGCACGTGTTCCAGGACCGGCGATCTTAATCTTAGCATTGGCTGCGCTGTGAAGGCTTCCATGGCCGCTTTCAACTTCCTTTTCTCCACCTCTCCAATGTCTCCTCGGGCATGGGGTTTAGGGTTTAGGGCTTAGGGTTTAGGGTTTAGGGTTTAGGGTTTAGGGTTTAGGGTTTAGGGTTTAGGGCTGCAGCACTGTAGAATCTGCAATGCCTATCTGATGTCGTTGCGGATGTTGTCCTGTTACATGCTTTCTTGTTCGGCCCACCCCTCGGATCCAGAAACAAAATTGTGTTTGAGCTGACAATTCTCCTTTCCGCTACACTTTCGGCAGTACCACTTCAACATGCCGTGTTTTTGTGGATCTGTTGTGTTAGCTAGCAGCAGCGGGAAATGCTTGCATAGGAGTTAGCCGCGCTACAATTTCAGAGCTTGGTGGGAGGATGTGGATCTTTTAGGAGATGCCAAGCTGGGATGATCTCTCTTGTTCTATTTTCCGTTTTTTTGTTTTTGTTGTTCTTTTCTCTGTCTCTCTCTCTCTCTCTGATTTCCTCGCTTAGGCTGGGACATCCGGGATGTGACGAACATCACCCGGGAGGCTGAGAAACCCACCTGGGGACGAAGTGAACCCAAACAGCATGCCACTGCAATTCCGGTGAAGGCTTAGATCATTCATCCCACGGGGCTGATGATGCCACAAAAGGGTGGGGTTTTACATGGCCTTATGAGAGACGTTGATTGCACATCCAACACGCGGGAAAGCCATGGCTGCTTCCACAAAGACCGGTGCTGAGAAAGTCTTGACTACTACTTGCTTAAGAACCCCAAAACAGTTACAAACAAAAAGTAGTTGAGACAGCCTAAAGTGCATCTCAGCGGATGGAAGTCTATACCCTCAACCTCAAACCGTCAACCCTGCTCGCGGTTCGGCCAGCTATGCGGGAGCGAAAAAGCCCTCAACCTAAATCCGCAGAGAGGGTTTGGGGCTTCCGGGCTTCAGTGTTTTGCGGTGTCTCGCTTGGAGTCGTCGCAGTTCCAAGTAGAGTTACAACTATAAGGACGCTAAGCTGAGCTGTACATACAGTATTACTTGCCTTAGCCTTAGTAGTGCTTAGTATTGCTTCGTGAAACTTAGTCTAACTTCGGTAGTATTACTTAGTATAGCTTAGGCCACATGTGTGCCTTGACCAGAGTAAGTGTACCCAAGGAGGCCCCTCTGCAGGGTTTTGGGTTTAGGGTTTAAAGGGTTTAGGGTGTTGGTTAGACATCACACCAGAAACTAAAGTCTACACCCACGCGCCCACGTCCATCACACAGCTGGAAATGCAGGGGAACTATCCTTGCAGTCCCATAAGGTTTTGGGTATTATGCTTCAGGGTCCTAAGTTCCGCGCCTCAAGATCTGCGCAGGACCGCAAATGTGGGTGAGCCCTTTAAGTGCAGCTTGTGCTTACACAAGTAGCGCATGCTTGGCCTTCAGGCATATACAGGTAAGTGTGAAGGGCCCGCAGGGAAACCATCAAACCCTAAACCTTGCGCTGGTTGAGGTATATTGCTGTTCCCCTGAACCCTAAACCCTAAAAGCCCTGACCCTCCGATGTCTCTGAAACATTGCCGGCATGTTTCTGCATTCTCTTTGAAGGCACGAATTCTTCTTTTCTTCAAGGATGGTCGTTTCCGGAATGAGGCGCTGCAATGTGGCCTTAGTGTCAGCCAGGCGAGTGGCAAACAAAGAAAGCCCTGCAAACCCTTAACCCTTTTTAACCCTAAACTCTAAACCCTAAAAAGCCTTAAAAACCCCCTGAAGAACACCCCCAAAAACACACTAGAAAAACCCTTTAAAAGCCCTTTAAACAACCTTTAAAAAAACCATTTAAAACAGGATAATAACCTAAACGCCCTTTTTAACTTCCCCGCAATCCGAAGCCGGCCGCCTGTGGAAGGCAAAGTGGGGATCCTACCTTGAGGCTCCTGCGGCGAGGGTGATGAGTTGGGATGTTCCCCCTTTCGACTAGCAGGGGTTCACTTAGGGGTTTAGGGTTTCGGGTTTAGGGGTTGGGGTTTAGGGTTTGGGGTTTGGGGTTTGGGTTTGGGGTTTGTGGTTTGGGGTTTGGGGTTTGGGGTTTGGGGTTTGGGGTTTGGGGTTTGGGGTTTGGGGTTTGGGGTTTGGGATGTTCCCCCTTATACTAACAGTCCTTCATAGGGATTAGAGCACCCCTCCCCCCTTGTCATAGTCCCTATTAAGGATTGTTCGTACAAGGGGGAAGATCCCAAGTGATGAGGTATTAGGTTGGACCCTTTTGGGATTTGGTTTTAGAGTTTCGGGCTTAGGGTTGGGGTTTTGGGTTTCGGGCTAAGGGTCTAGGGCTCAGGGCTTTGGGCTTGGGATGCTTCAGTACTCTTGCTGGGTTTAACAGAATCTTGTTTGGGAACATGTCTTATTTTGAAAGCCAAGCTTGGGTATTGTTGGAATCTAATCCTCGCTGAGAAGGGTCAAGCCTCAACCCTGAAGCCTAAAGACGCCAAGTGCGCGAGAGTTGTGTGCGGGTGTGCGCATGTCGGGTCTTCCAACGCTTTACGCATGTGTCCTCTTCATTCACCTGCCTGAACCTACTGAGTTAGTTACTATAGGGGTCGGGATAATTACCACTAGTATTCCCTTATGGTGCCTGCACACGGCTTGGTAAAGACGTGCCGTTCCAGAGTTAGACAAAGGCGTCATCTCCGAACAAGAACTGATCTTGCACCCTGAGCCAAGCTCCAAACACTAAAGCAATAACCCAAATCTTGGGCCCTAAACCATAAGCCAAAAAGTCCTAAACCCTGAGCCCAAGTTCTAAGCCCTTCACCCAAGTCCCTAAACCCATGGCCCAAATCCTAAACCCTAAGCCTTAAACCCTAAACCTTACACCTTTAACCCCGAACCCTGAACACAAATCCTGAGCCTTGAACCCCAAGCCCCAAACCCAAAACCCTAAACCCGAAAACCCGAAAACCCTAAACCCTAAACCCTGAACCGTAAACCCCAAACCCTAAACCCTAAACCCTAAACCCTAAGCCCTAAACCCTAAACCCTAAACCTTAGCTCCCACTTGCATCAAGGACCCTCAGGATGGCTCCAGATTGGCGGAGCTGACGCCCATGTGGGCCAGGAGCCCAGGATTTCGGGGTTTAGGGTTTAGGGTTTAGGGTTTAGGGTTTAGGGAAGAAAGGGGTCGGGATAATTGCTGACAGTATACCCTTTTGGTGCCTTTGAAAGTATACTATAAGAACCCCCAAAACCCGGTTCTAATTATTTAGGCCCCTATAGTAGGGCCGTTTATTGGTTTCAGGGTGTTGGGGTTGTAGGGTTGTTTTAGGAGTAGCTTTTGTCCCACTGCATGTCTGCGGCACTGACAGGGTTCACAGAGGTGGGGAGTCTTACAGGCAAAGCTTGCTACGAGGCGGAACATCCCAGCTCTCAAGCAAAGTGTTGGGCCGTGTTTTATTTCAGGGGTTAGGCTGAACTTCGCGTGGCTTCGGGCGAGACTTTGGCTGTTGGCATCGTTGATGCGGGCATGGGTGAGGATTTTTTTTTTTTTTTGGGGGGGGGGGGGGGGGTTGGGCTCGGGGTGCAAGAGAAAAGGGAGCAAGGGGGTTTAGGGTTTTCGGTTTTAGGGTTTCGGGTTTAGGGTTTAGGTTGGAATGTTCGCCCCTTATACTAACAGTCTTGAATAGGGATTGTAGTACCCCCATTATAATCCCTAGTAAGACTGTTAGTAGAAAGGGTAACATCCCAAGTTTTAGAGTTTTCGGTTTATGTGGTGCAAGCAGGATCTTCGAGGTAAGGGCCCTTAGGGGCTAACCCGTTTGGGGTGGACCTTGTTATTGAAACCCTGTATGTGTCATGATACGTTCTTCTATGTAATTGCATGTTGCCATATACTTCTGAATATTTTCTATATTATTGCGAGGGGACAACTTAGAGCAGCACCCCGCATGTGATCAGGCGAACGACTTTTATCGGTGCTAAACCCTAGACGTACGTCACTTAAGGACCCCTAAACCCTAACCCTAAACCCCCGACAGACGAAGGTATCTTGCCTACGGGGAAGGGGCCCCGTCACTATACGAACCCATCCACAATAATTCAGGGGCACGAGTCTTAGACCCAAAGCCCCGAACCTTAAAAACAGCGGATGCACCCTAAACCCTAAACACTAAGCCCTTGGCAGCTACAGGTCTCCGCGGAGACTCTGTCAAGAGCAGAGGGGGTGCCTGGGAAGAAGCAGCGTTTAGGGTTTAGGGGTTGGGGAGGAGGGGGGTGGGGGGGTTGGGGTTCGGGAATGCAACATTAACAATGTGAACAACTTGGATAATGCGCAGTCAAATGCAATATCTGTCTTTTAAAAATGTCGCAATGTCAACTGAGCTGTTTCGATTGGCGGACAAGGGTTTGGCTTTTTACTCTGGACGGTCGTCATTTTGGATGTGTGGCTGTCGAATTACTTGTGGCTACTGGTAGGGCGCTACTGGTAGGTCTGCTTGCCTGCTACTCGAAAGCACTAAACCCCCTCGAAACCCTAAACCCCTAACCCTAAACACTGCTTGGCCCAGAGGT